ATGGCGCGGAGGGGGCGGCGCGGTGGCCGGGTGCCCGGAGTTCCCCAGGGACGGGCACCGAGCCCGACGGCTTTGGCCGCGAGCGAAGTGTCTGTCAGGTACGCGGCGTCGCCACCACCGCCGCCATCTTCCGGGGTTTGAAAATGGCGGCCGCGCTACGGCCAGCCAATCAGGACGCAGCGGGCGGTTGCTAGGAAACGCGAGGCCCGCCCCTCTCCACGCCTTTCGACTGATTAGAGGAGGCCCACCCATATTGTCAAGGACAGTCTTTACTTAAGGTCACCCGATTGTCAGTGTTCACATCTACAAAAGGGCTTCACAGCAGTACCTACGTTAGTGTTTGATTGAATAACTGAGCACTATAGGCTAGCCAGGTCGACACATAAAAGTGTCACACCATAAGACTTCTCTAGACTTGAAATTCCAATGATTATTGAGGAAACTTTTTTCTTTTAAGACTTAGTTTTTCAAAGAAAAAAAAATTACTTTTAAAAAAATTTTTTTAAAAGTGTATTTCTTAAAGTATATTACAAAAGAGATTTTTTTTTTTTTCTTATTTTCTTCTAATTCCTTGACCAATCTCAGTGAATCACAGCTTTACCTTGGGTGTTCAGGTCACCACAGCTACCTTGAAACGAGTGAACTGAAAACTGAAAAAAGGTTGTGCTGCTTTAAGTGAAGCCAGCGGCTCGGCCCTCAGATGGAGTCACACTTCCTGCCCTGTGATAGGGCTTACCTGGCCCACTACTCAGTCGTTACCAAGGGGCGCCTTTAGATCAGCCTGGTAGGTGGCTCTGGGACTTGTACATTGTTGACAATCTTGCTTTGGTGTCGTAGCAAATTTTACTCATCGCATTTGGCCTCCTTCTCCACCAAGCAATTCTTAACAAATTCTTAATACAAGAGAAGAAATTTCTAAAGGGCCATTTGGTTTTTTCACTATCCACATTTGAGGTGGATTTGCGTAAGCCCTCACTTATTCAGCTGTAGTTTCGCATCTTTCTAGAAAAGCTTGGTTGCTTTGCAGTTGATCGCCACCTCGAATTGAAGTGCTGAACCAGTTAGTTTTTGCCTTTGTTTGAGACCTGGCGTGCTGCTCTTCCTGTGAAGATCAATTGCTTTGCTTTCGGTGATGCTCTTGGACTTCCCGGGGACCTCAGACCCAGGTAGCTATTGCGAAGTTGATAGAGGCGTGACAGGTAAAGCGTGCGGACATCTTTGTCCTCTCTTGAGTTCGGTCCTTTGGGGGTGATAATGAATGGATACAGTTACTTAAATCCTTCCATTTGGGGACCACCTTTTCAGACCCATTTCCCCTTTAATCTCTTATGTGCCAGTCATAGTGATTTTTAGCATCTCAGAATTCTTGATTCTTAGACAGAAGCAACCTTTCAAACCCCCCTTCATCCTTAAGCTTCTCACCCCACTGGACTCTCTCTCCAGCATTTTAAGGATATTTAAATAGTTTTGCTCTTAAACATTGTGCCTTCCTCCACGCAAGATCCTTGTGGCAATGGAAATGTTCTGTGTTTTGACTATTAATTAGGTATTCTGGGCGTGAAATTTACTATAGTTTTGCAAGGTATTTCCATTGCGGAAAATGGGTAAGGGGTATGGGAGGTCTTCTGTATTAACGTTCCGTGACTTATCCATATGTGGTTCCGTGGGCATTTTACAATCTTTTGATATTTTATAGTTTGATTGCTATTCTAACAGATAGTTTGGAAAGCAGGAAAAGGCTTAGAGAAGAATAAGGTGAAAACAGCCTTCTGTACCCTGGGACACGGATATGTCATAAACTCAGCTGCTTCTCAAACCAGTAAAAGCAAGATTGGCCCTTGCTGGGCCAGTTCTCCTGCCTGAGTTCAAAAAGGACTGCATCACTCCCGTGTCTGAACCACGTGAAGACCTGCAATTTTGTTGTTGGTGGTGATTATTTTTATCGTGAAAGTTTGAGCACGTGCCATGTGGGCTGTGAGAGAAATCTACCTGTAAGTGGTTTTCATGCTGTAGAAACAACAAATCCCCCCTTTTAAATTTTTACCTAAATCTCGAGACCTAGGTATGTTTTGATCTGATGACGGCGGCTAATGTACTGAGTTCATTTTAAGTCCGACAGGGGAGTGAGAAGGCTGTTATGGCAGAACGTGTTGTTTTGATTTTTATGTGCCCTAGAGGCTGGAATATTGCTTGGTACTAAGCGAAGTGCTTTCTAAATCGAGTTCATAGCCTTCGTCGTGAGAGACGGATGGTCACACAGAGAAGAATCGAAAGGGAAATAAGCAAGTGGTGAGCTTGAATTCCTCATAAAGCAGAGAGGGCCGTGTCGTGCCTCGTGAATTGAGGAGGCAAAGGGCCAGGGTTTGGTGCCCCGAGCAGGTGCAGAGTCCAAGTCACATTGCAGGGGTGCAACCAGCCGGGGCTTCTTCCCACTAGAGAAGAATTCTTGCAGTTAAATATCAGGCCTTGGGATCTTGCAGCCCTGGAGGAGGGCTGGGTTGCCCATCAGCTTATCAGGCAGGCAAACAGCCTGCAGGGCCCTTCTCATGCAGAAAACAGGCTTCTCATCCTGCTAAGACCCCTGTGTGGACTTGTTCCATGACCACTGGCAATCAAAACTCAGCCCTCATAGAGGAGTAGATATTTGTGTCTGTTGAAATTACAAAGTAAGAGAAAGGTCATTTGCCTTTTTTAAAACCTGAATGGTGATTTAAAAAGGGGGAAGAGAGTGGAGACTGATGAGGGTGAATGAAAACAGTGACGTTTAAACAAGAAAAAAAATCACTTACTTCGCAGATGTAACTAGTTTTATTTTGATGCACCTTTTAAAGAGTTTTTTCATGCTTATTTTTATGATGTCTTTGACATCATACATTATATACCATTATACGACTTATACTTTTTACTTAATATTTTATCATACACATTTCCTATGTCATACTTTCTGCTTTGGTAAATATTTGAGGGTTGCAAGATATGCCATCGTACCAAGCAACATACCTTCCCATACCTACCCAACAGCATAGCCGAATGGTTAAGGAGATTGGTTTTTTTACTCTGGTAAGCAATATCGTGAATGCCACTGTGCCTAAATCTTCGCATGTCAGATTCTTTCTTTCTTTTGTAACTCATTTGTTTATGTCATTTGCCTCTTTGTCTAGTAGCTGTCTCAACGTTTGTTTGTGTGTGTGTGTGTTTTTTTTTATGTATATAGTGTGTGTGTGTGTGTGTGTGTGTGTGTGTTTTTATGTATATCAAAATTGCCTTATAGAAAGCTGGCTTGTTAAATCCATTGCATGTTTCCTTAGTAAATTTTCCACTAATTTTGATCTTAGGACATCCTTTCTTATTTAGAGCACATATGAATAGTAAATATAGAATCTCGAGATAGAAAAAGGTAACATCTTTATCTGCAATGGGTTTTAATGCGTCAAAGCCATACATTGATTTTGGTTTTATTCCTGTCTAATAACTTGCCGATTTTTTCCTGGGTGAAACAGCTTGATTTTTATAACTCATGCTTTGCCTGTTACGCAACAGGTGCCTAATTTACGCTGCTGGAAGAACTCTTCTAATGGAATTAGAGTCCTTGGCTCAGTTGTCCCTAAGCTCGCCTGTACTCTGCTTTTGGTTCCCGGGAGACACATTCAGTCGGCCTTACGGTCAGTTTCTCCCGTTGGCACAAGCTCGCTTGGTTTCTGTCCATGGTAAGCGGAAGCGCCGAGTGACGGGGCCCACGAGATGTAAGAAGGCCTGCCCAGTGCCAACTCCCACGGCGCGTTTCGGGGGACCGCCTTCCCACTCGTGGGGGCCGAGCTGGCGTCCAGATAGGCGACACTCACTGGGAGCTCTGTTGCCCGGAACATGGAATCCAGCCCGATGGATTTACCATTCTTGGCAGTAAAAAGGACCCGTTGGAAAACTCACCGTGGCTCACGTGGACGCCTCCTTCGGTACCTTCTTCTGCAAGACCAGAGCTGGGAAGCGTGTGCCCAGGACGC